AAAAAAAAAAAACTTTATGGGAGCAGAAAGCCTCATCTTTCTCCCACAGAACAGCTGGTAGTTTTGAACTGCTGACCCTGAGGTTAGCAGGCGATTTGTAACCACTACGCTACCGGAGCCCCTTCCAGATGTAGGTAAGAGATCCTATTTGTTCACTTGACAGCATGCTCCAAATCTCAAACCAAACCCAAACCAAAGCTGTCAAGCGATTCCGACTCATAGCAACCCTAGAGGACAAAGTAGAGCTGCTCTTTAGGGTTTCCAAGACCATAAATCTTTGTGTGTGTGTGTGTGTGTGTGTGTGTGTGTGTGTGTGAACTGAGTGATAGTTTACATGGGAGAACATCGGTGTTACACTCATCCTATCGTATTTCATTTCATTGCAATGATTACAATCCCCTGCATGCATCATGATTCAACATTATTTACTTCTATTCCGTCCATTTGGAATGTACACAAAAACACTCAGGAATATATAATCATTTAAACAACCAACCAAATGGCACATTTTGTAAGACTGCCTCCTGGCTGTCTCTTTCCATGAGTCTGGAGTCCTCAGCTGTTCTATCTCTTCTCCATGTCATCAAATTGTACATCTTTATAAGAGCAGACAGCCTCATCTTTCTCCTTTGGCATGACTGGTGGGTTGAATCACTGACCATGAGGTTAGCTACCCAAAGCTTAACACACCAGGGTCTCTCCTCTAAACTTCAAGAACCCATTCTTCCTTACTGTAGCTGAGAATGCTAAGTACCCTACAAGATTCGCCACTTCTTACATAATAGAATTTTCAGATGAGCACATGGTAAACTAGCTAAAAATGATATTTCCCAGGCTTCTTTGCAGCCGAGTGTGGTCATATACTTATATTCTAGACAATGATTTGTGTAATTTCTAGGTCCTTAAAAGGAAAGAGTGGTCATTTGTTTTTCCCACCTTCCCCTCCCAGCTGGCTGGACTATGGATAGGCAGGCAGAAGCTAGAATAGCTAAACTAGACCTTGAGATGAGTCAGTCTAAGAATAACCAAATGAGTATGAAAGAGAATGGGTCTGCCATCACTGAGCCACCATGCTAGATTTGATCTAGTTACTGGAGAGAAAAAATAAACTCTCAGGTTAAAACACTCCCTCCTTGGATTCTATTTGACCCACCCCATTCCCCCCACCCTCTCCATCCATTTGCCTTGAAGTAGGGTTCACTCAGTTACCCAGGAAGTTGAAAGCGATGGAAACACTGAGCTGGAAGAGCTGCTGAATGGAAGTCACTGCCTCCTCAAGTGAAAGAGTCTTTGACTGATCGCATTCCTGGGGGCAAAAATTAAGACTCATTATGAGAAGATTCAGAAATTGCCACCTGCCCAGGGAAAAGTTATGGGCATCCAAGTTGTCAAATCTAGACAATACCTGCTTTCTCCCAGTTGTCTGAGGCTGGGCTGGCTTTGCCTTAGATTCAAAGCTATTGCTGGCATGCAGGAAGCCAAATTCACTGGGATCTGCAAGGAGAATGGCCAACACACAGCCGGGACAAAGGAGAAAGGTGTTATGTATGTCTCCTTAGATCTTACTCCCCCAATCCACCCAGCCTCTCCATCAGTCCCACTGCCAGTAATCAAAATAACTAAATGGCCCCAGAAAGCCTGGGGCCTCACAGGAATGACAATTCTTTTATCTGGGAACAAGTAGCTACAAATATCCATCTGCCCAATTTTCCCTTTTCCCCTTCCTGTTGATTTTAGGAGGTGGGGACTTACCTTCTTCTGCAGAGTCCTGAACACTGGCTGCCCTCAAGGAGCTGTGTGAGGAGAGACTCCTGGGTTGAGCTGAGGGCCCTTCCTGGCTCGGCCTGGGTTCGCTGAGGCCTGGGTACCCGGGAGCTGGGCTCTCAGGAATGGGGAGGATGTGCCTCCGCAGTGCTGGAAGGAACCAGCAAGAGTGGTCAGTCGAGGAGAGGGTAGTTCAGATTGCTCCGGCTAGACTAAGTCCTCCCTGAGGTTTTAGAAACCTGTAATATCTCCTTGCCACTCCTCTTCCTCTTCTGCTTTCTTTACTGGTTCCCTTCACAGGGGTTAAGAGGGGCCTACTTTTAGCATAGTCTCCCACCCTAAGCATAAACTCACTCTTCATTCTTTTGCTTGAATTCTAGTGGAATTCACTAGAGAGTGAAGAAGACATTTACCTTACTTATTACTGTAGCCCCAGCCCCTAGCACTTTGTTGGATGATAATACTGATAATGATCATCATTATTGTCATAATGAGAAGAACTAATACTTACTGAGAACTTACCACGTGCCAAGCACTATTACAAACTCATTTAGTCCTCTCAAGAACTGATGAGGTGAATTGTATTATTAGCCTATTTTATAGATGAAGACACTGAGGCACAGGCAAGTTACATGCTTTCACCAGGAGCACAAGACTGGTAGGTAGCAGCTTTGAGACTTGAATCCTGGCAGTCTGACTTCACAGTCTTAGCCACTAGGCTGTATCATCTCTGTATCATGGCACATAGTAGGGACTCAATACATATTCATTTATTAATGAATGAATGAGCAAAGAATGACCTAAGTGACTAAGGGGTTGGCAGAAAGTCCCACCTAGGATCTAGAATAGCATGGACCCCTGTGGGTCTTCCTCCTTGGGTGGTGGTGGGAGGACATGGAAAGAGACTGAGGGGCAGGTGTGGCCCACATGCTGGGTAGACAGAACTTCCCCACACTCCCCTTCCTCTAACTTGTGATAGAAATGGCAAGGAGCTGCTGATGGCTCTTTTCCTGAGGTGTGTCCAGAGAAGCTTCCTGACTCAGAGAAGCTCCCCACCCAGCCCTCCTGCCCCCAGGACTGAGAACTCACAGGAGCACGGGTGCCACAGGGGAGATGAGAGGAAATGATCCAGTGGACTGTGCCAAGAGCAGCGCTCCGCTCGCCGAGACACTCCTGGCAGGGACGCTTGGAAGTGGATCTGCCTCACCAGTTGTAGGGCCAGCACAGCCAGAGTGCCCTGGGAAAGACAGCACATGGGGCACAGCCCCCAGACTCAGTCTTTGGCTCTCAGCTCAAACATCAGTTTCTCAGACAGCTTTTTCTGACTCCTGGCTGGGGCAACTCCCCCACTACATACTCTCACAGCGCTTGAACTTATCCTCTGGAGTACTTAAGTCACCGTCTATATAATCACTCAGTTAGGGCCTGTCTCTCCTGTTAAGTCTCTAAGCAATACGAGGGCAGAATCCATGTCTGTTTTTGCTGTATCTCCCAGCACCTAGCAGAGTGTGAAGATATTTGTTGTTGTTAGAGGCCATGGATCATTGAGTCCATTTTTGACTCATAGTGACCTCATGTGACAGAGCAGAACTTCCTCACAGGGTTTCCTAGATTATAATCTTTACAGGAGCTGGTCACCAGGCCTTTTCTACCGCAGAGCTCCTGGGGGTTCAAACCACCAACCTTTCAGTTAGCAGCTAAGTACTTAACTGTCGTGCCACCAGGGATCTTTTTAAGATAAGTAGAGGCGTAATAAATATACTACAGGCAATGAATTCATAAGAAAGTGACTGAAGAAACAAAGTCTCAGCAGGCAAAAAGACAGCATGGTTAACTGGGAATTAGCCACAAACACAGCAAGAGGTCAGACTTCCCCAGAAGACTGTCTTTTTCTCTAGTCCAGTACAGTCCCTCCCTCCCCTATCCCTCACTAAGCCAACCTGCCACACACACATTCACCAGTGTAGGCCTGCTTCGATGACAGGTCTGTAAAAGGCCTGAGCCAGCTCTTATCCTAGTAACTGCCTCTTCCTGTCTGTGCCAAGTACTTGGGTACAGTGGCAAACAAGAAAAGATATAGTTTCTGACCTCATGGAGTTTATGGGTAGAAAGACAAAAGTCAAGTGCACAAAAAATAATAATTATATATTATGCTTAATGCCAAAGAGACAAATCAGGGTTTCACCAAAGCATCAGAGGAAAGTCTTACAAAATATGGAGCCTCTCCACAGGGGCAATATATGGGCTGAAGTCAGAAGGAAGAGAAGGCCCCCGTCTTATAAAGAATAGTGACAAGTGTCTACAGCATTGGGAACAGCATGTTCACAGGTCCTTTCACATGTGTGGTAGTGACAGAGCTGAGGGGATACAGCTGAGGGCCTGGGATCCGGGCCCTGTTCCCAAAAAGACTCAGGTGGAAACACCCTTAGGCTCATATGTTCTTCAACAAAACGTGAAAGCACGCCCCTCTCCAGGGTGTGTCATGTGAACCTCTTAGCTCTAGATTCTAGGCTACATTTCCAAACGAGATCATTCTTGTCTACACTGAAGGTCAAAGATAGGACTGAAGAAATTTTACCCATGATAAGGCATCCCACAGGGTGTTTGGGGAGTCACGGGCAGATATCCACTGGAAGGTGTTCTTCCATCCATGGGTCCTTGGGCCCTTGCTTGTGCCTGGGCCTGGGTCATGGAAGCCGGAGCTAGAGAGATGCAATAGAGGTTGTCAAACTACGCCTGGGGCAAGGAAAGTGGCAGGTCAGGGGAGATGGAACTGCAGTGTCTCACCTATCAAGGCTGGGAACAGGGGCCAGTAGATTGGAGGAGGTAGCCTGAGGCCCATCTGGCCTTGTGGACCTAGGGTTCAACTTCCAGAGGCCAGGTCCTGGCAGACGGTGAAAAGCTGTGCCAAAAAAAAAAAAAAAAAGGATCAGCCACTTTAACAGGGTCAGGACTGAGACAAGACGTCTAACCTTCCTTCCTTCAGCCCAACCCAGCTTGATATAGTCCTACGTCAGGAACCCAGGAATCACTGGCTTTGCCTCTGCAGTGGTTTTAAAACAAGGATATGTATGGGAATCACTTGGAGATTCTCTGTCAAGTACAAATTCTAGGGTGCTATCCCCTAGCATGGAGTCCTGGTGTGGTGCTGTGGGTTAATGCGCCAGACTGCAAAGCCATTTGAACTGCAAGATCGGCAGTTCAAGCTCACCAGCTGCTCCTCGGAAACCCTATCCAGGGTGGCTATGGGTTGGGACTGACTCAATGGCACTTAACAACAACAACAACATCCCCTAGCATAGGGTCACTATGGGTCGGAATTGACTCGACAACACTTAACAACAACAACAACAACAACATCCCATAGCCAATACACCAGGGTATCTCAGGGTTGTTGTTTTCGTTGAGTGCCGTCGAGTTGATTCCAACCCATAGCGACCCTGAATAGGGTTTCCAAGGAGTATCTGGTGAGTTTGAACTGCCGACCTTGCAGTTCAAATGGCTTTGCAGCCTGGCAAATTAACTCACAGCGCAAGCATCTATATTTTGAATAAGTTCCCTAGGTGATTCCGACGCTTTGTTATTTCTGATCATCACAGTTGTAAGATAACCAGCCATTCATACTTATAACACAACCCAATGTTAGGAGCACTTGGTCTCTAAACCCTGCCTCTCTCTCTTCCTACTTGACTCCTCCCTAGAAGTTGTCGATAGGTGCCATCAGTAAGGCAACCCTAGTCCTGCGCCATCCTCCATCCTCACAATTGTTGTTACATGTGAGCTCACTGCTCCTGCCACTGTGTCAATCCTTCTCATTGGGGGGCTTTCTCTTTTTCATTGACCTTCGACTTTACCAAGTATGATGCCCTCCAGGGACTGGTCCCTCCTGAGAACATATCTGAAGCATGAGAGATGTCTCACCAACCTGGCTTCTAAGGAACATTCTGGCTGAACTTTTTAATTTTGTCTTTTACTGTTTGTGTTATTATATTAGATGATACAATGTTAAATGCTGTTGTTGTTGTTAGGTGCAGTAAAGTTGTTTCTGACCCATAGTGACCCTATGCAAAACAGAACCAAACACTGCTCAATCCTGGGCCATCCTCACAATTGTTGATATGCCTAAATCCATTGCTGTTGCCATGGTGTCAATCCATCTTATTGGGGGTTTTCCTCTTTTTGCTGACCCTTCACTTTACTGAGCATAATGTCCTTCTCCAGAGACTAGTCTATATTGATAATATGTATGAAGTTGTTGTTGTTGTTGTTGTTAAGTGCCTTCAAGTCGGTTCCGACCCATAGCGACCCTGTACAGGGTTTCCGAGGGTGTAAATCTTTACGGGAGTAAAAAGCCTCATCTTTCTCCCGCGGAGCGGCTGGTAGTTTCGAACCGCTGACCTTAAGGTTTGCAGCCCGATTCGTAACCACTACGCTACCAGAGCTCCTTTGTATGAAGTACGAGAGATAAAAGGAGCTCTGGTAGCGCAGTGGTTGCGAATTGGGCTGTGAACCTCAAGGTCAGCAGTTTGAAACTACCAGCCGCTCCGCGGAAGAAAGATGAGGCTTTCTGCTCCCATACAGATTTACAGAAACCCTGTACAGGGTCGCTATGAGTAGGAACTGACTCCATGGCACATAACAACAACAAATGAGAGATAAAGTCTCACCATCCTAGCTTCTAAGGAGCATTTTAGCTGCACTTCTTCCAAAACAAATTTGTTTGTTCTTCTGGCAGTCCAAGGTACTTTTAGAATCTTATTCTCCATTACCATAGCTCAAATCTATCGATTCTTCTCCAGTCTTCATTATTTATTATCCAACTTTCACGTGCTACTGAGAATACCCTGGCTTGGTTCAGGTGCATCTTTGTTCTCAAACTGACATCTTTGCTCTTCAACACTTTAAAGAGGTCTTCTGCAGCAGATATGCCTAATGTAATACGTCATTTAATTTCATTACTGCTGCTTCCATGAGTGTTGATTGTGGATCCAAGCAAAATGAAGTCTTTGACAATTTCAATCCTCTCTCCATTTATCAGGATGTTTGTTATTTATTGGTCCAGTTGTGAGGATTTTTGTTTTCTTTACATTGAGTTGTAATCCATACTAAAGGCTGTAGTCTTTGATCTTCATCAGTAAGTACTTTAAATCCTCTTTGCTTCCAGCAAGCAAGGTAGTATCATCTGCATATCGCAGGTTGTTTAATGAGTCTTCCTTCAAACCTGATGCCACATTCTTCTTCATATAGTGCAGTTTCTCACATTATTTTCTCAACCTGCAGAAGTAGCCCCACACCTCTCTTTGGAAATAAACTGCATCCTTTTTCCATTAGCTCCACCCCCATATTTTAGAGTTTAAATCTACCCCTCCTCTTTAGTCTCACCCACATTCCAAATTCCAACAGCCTCAATCTTTTTAGCTGTAGCACCGCCCCCTTAAGGCCCCGCCTCTGAAAAGCCTGATTCCGCCCACTTTTGGTTTGGCGGGGTGTCAGGCCCATCTCCTCCTCTAGTTCCCAGTCTGTGCTGTCTCTAGTCGCGCGCGCTTCCAACACTCCTTACCGCGGCTCAGGAGTCCCGGAAGGCGCCACATGTCTACCCCGGCACCATTGAGAACTCGCAGCCGATAAAGCCGAGGCTGAGCCACGGGATGGCGGCTAGAGCGGCCGTGGTGGCGTCTCTGAGTGGCCGAGTCTCTAACGAACTCTCAGCCAGCCAATTAGAAAGGAGACCGAACGGAAGAACGGCTCAGGGAAAGGAAGTGGCGGGTGTTGGACTATTTGGGACTTGCGGGGCGCGGGCACCGGAAAGGTGAACTGCGGCAAGGACATGAGGGTGTGGGCCTAGTTTTCCACAGTACAGGTGTCATTTATTATTTCCACAAGAATGGGGAGAGCACACTGTGGGGCGGGGGGCTCAGGATAAGGGCCATTGGGAAGCAGGACTAGAGCGGCTTTCGTGGAGCTAGAGGACCTTGTAGACACTGAAGCCGGGGACAGGGAAACAGTATTCTTTGGGCTCCAGGTGATGAGCCTTGGGGTCAGTCGACAGTCAGAGCTTCCGGTCCGAGGCAACTGGCTAGGAGCTACGAGGCCAGGACCTGACCAAGAAGACGACGATAAACTGCGCGTGTTAGGCTTCTGATTACGGACTCAGAGGTAGGGTCCGTAGGAATGGTCTTGACTGGTCCCTTCCTGGTCCGACAAGCTGTTGTCGCTTGAGTTGCTTATTTATAAATACCTATGGGGACAATCGCCCCTCTGCCTTCACTCACCGTGATCGTCGGAGCCCTCATCTTCAGACCCAGCTAGCCTTATTTAAATACATTGTTTAGTTAGGGAAAGGATGTTTCCTTTTTCACCACCCTTGAATCCAAGAAACAAAGGTGCTCCCATTCAAATTCAAATGTAGGGTGCTTAGGCTTCCTCCTACCTCTACCAGTGTCGGAGGTAGTGGGTGGAAGTTTCTTTGTGGGGTTAAAAACTACATATATATACTTTTAGCAGGCATGTAATGTAAAAAGAGTTATCAGGGCTCAATCGAACCATTTCTAGAAAGCTCGGTGGTTCTGGCTGTTGAAGCCACCTTGCTCCTGGCCAACACCTCCCCTAAAGATGTCAGCCTATGAAGCTCTATGGGGCAGTTCTCCATTCCATAGGCTCATTATTAGCTTGATTTGATTAGACCTTACCCACAACAACAGCATGTGAGGTGAAAATTGCCCTGATTAGTTCAACATTAATTTTGGAGCCATATGTCAGCCCCCATCGTAGGAGATGAGAAGACAGATGAATAACAGAGCATTGTGGCCTCCGTGAATTGTTTTTAAGAGTGAGCTCTGGAGTCCTACAAATCTGGACCTGAATCCCAGTTATATTACTTCCTAGCTGTGTGTTACGTAACCTCTCAAAGCCTCAGGGGAAATAATAACTTATAGGGGTTGTTGTGAGGCTTCAATAAGATAATAGATTGAAAATGTTTGATATTGTTCATGGCACATAGTAAAAGCCACTTACTGTATGTAAGTTGTGATGAATTGCAGCCAAGTACAATATTCCAATAGAAATATGAACAGTGAGTTGTGTGATACCGCAGAAGAATGCAGAGAAGAAAGAAGATGCATTTGTGCCTGGCCTTTACATACATACAGTTTGCCAGATGGAGAAGGAAGAAAAGCACTCCAAGCAGAGGAAACTGAGTAAAGGCTCAGGGGTTTTAATATTGGGAAACGACTAAAGTATTCTTGCTTTGATATTTGAGGCAGCTTCCTCAAAATAAAAACAAACAAGCATCTGGGTTCAGCGTTGTTTTTCCTGGTACTTCTGTATGCAGGGGCCTTCAAAAAGTTTGTGAAAAACTCCATTGTCTTTTAATTTTCTCTTTCCACAAACTCTTCGAAACCCCCTCATGCCTTCTTCCTTTCAACCTGACTCTAGTTTGTTTGTTCTTCAAGGCTTAGCCGAGTCCCACCTCATCAGTGAAGAAGACTCCCTAACTGGTTGAGGCTTGCTGCTTTTCCCAATTCCTGTAGCATTTAATTTCTTACCACACAATTTAGCAGTAATTACATGTTGTCCTGTTATTTAATTATCTCATTTGTGTAAGTCTAGTCTTCTTACTTTTCTCCCTCAGGGCAGGGATGGCATTTTCTCATTTTGTGTCCCCCATAGGGCTTGACATAAATTGTCAGCCTAGAGAAGATGCTTAAACAGTCTGTTGACTGACTGAACATCTCACATGCATAGTGATATAAGCCAAGACATTCAGACTCAAATCATGGGACTTATTTGATTCAGTCTACATAAAAATATTCATTGAGGACCTTCTATGTTTAAAGCTAGTTAAACTTTTTGTAGCAGAAGATAGGGTGTATATTCCCATGAGTAAAATGACATTATGGCATCTCTTGTCTCCAGAAGCCCAGTAATACCAACAGAACTCTTGTGGTAGGGGTAGGTAGCAAGAGGAGCTGGAGCCTTTAGAGTCCTGCCTGGCACACCAGGTCAGCCCTCTGTGTTTCCCAGAGTACACCATCAAGGATAGCAACTTTCCCCCCCCTGAGCTTTAGCTTTCTCTGACCCAACCCCAAATCTTTGGCCATTCTTTTCTCCTGCTCTGAGACCACAATCCCAAAGTCAAAGCAAACTGTGGAACTTACATTAGGAACTTAGGTTGGGTGGTCTAGAGAAGTAAAACCAGTGAAGCTTATATATGAATATATAAAGAGGTTTATATCAAGGAAATGACTCTCACAGTACAACTCGGAGAAGTCTCAAATCTGTGGGACATATGTCAGGCTGGATAACTGATGAACCCAAGATTGGCAGGTTAGATGGCATGCAGGTGAGATGACAGACCGCTGATAATTCCCAGAATCAGCAGGCAGTAGACCAGGCCACTGGTTCAAGTCCAAAGAACCACACTTTGGATGACGAACCAGATGCAGAATCCAGAGCCAACAAAAATCAAGCAAGCTTTGCCCAAGTGTCACACCCCTGAGGAAATTTTTCAGTTGATTGGCTGCTCATAACAGCTCTCATCATGGAGTTGATTACATTGCATTAGCTCTCATCATGGGGGATTACTACATCTCAGCTGCCAAACCACTGGCCCAGCCAAGTTGACACAAAACCTTAAGTATCGGGGAGTGAGGGTGGGGGAAAAAAAACAAAAACCTTAAGTATCACAGAAACATATTATATATATGCAGTGAATCAATGCCTGTTAATGCCATTGTATGTATACTTATGACAGTGACTGCTCTAGGCATTTGTTGTTTTTGTAGACACTCCTTAATTTGCACTAATCAAATATATGAGAACTTATTCTGTGCTGGAGATTGTCATGAGTATGGTGGTGGTAGTGGTTATGTGCTGTGGAGTAGGTTCGACCTCATAGTGACCCTATCTAGGGTTTCCAAGGCTGTAAATCTTTATGGTAGCAGAAAGCTTCATCTTTCTCCTGCAAACTGCTGACCATAAGATTAACAGCCTACTTGTAACCACTATGCTACCAGAGCTGTTTGTCCTGAGTATATAACACTTAAAAAGTGAATGTAGTCCCTACCTAACAGAGAAAATAACCAAGTGGGGCAACTAAATCAGTAGGCAACTAAAATATAGAGTAGTGTTTTAGTTATTTGTTACAGCATAACAAAAATCCCAAAATTAGGTGGTTGAAAACAGTCGTTCTATTATCCCTCACAGTTCTGTGCATTGGCTGGACTCAGCTGGGCAATTCTGCTGGTCTCATTTGGGGTCTTTCATAAGGTTACAGTCAGATGGTAGCTGGGGCTCTTTACCTCCCCATGAATTTCAGTGTCTCTCCTCTCCATGTGACCTCTCCTGCTGCATAGCTGAACTTCTTACATGGTGCCTCAGAGCTTCCAAAAGTAGAAGAAATCAGGCTTCTTAAACTGGAGGCCTGGAACTGGAGCAGTTTTACTTCCCTTGTATTCTGTAGGTTAAAGCAAGTTATAGAACTAGGCCTTCAAGAGTCTGTAGACCAGGGAAAGGCAACAGGGTGAGAATGCTATGAAGTGTGTTTTTTTAGAAACTAGTAAGTGCTATGGTGGGGAAGTGCTACGGACAAGGCCAGTTGTTGTTACGTGCCACTGAATCAGTCCAGTTCATAGCAACCCTACGCACAACAGAACATAACACTGCCTGGCCCTACACCATCCTCAATAATTGTTACACTTGAGCCCATTGCTGCTGCCACTGTGCCAACCCAGGTCATTGGGGTCTTCCTCTTTTTCACTTATCCTCCACTAAGCATGAGGTCCTTCTCCAGGCACTGGTGTTTCCTGATATTTCCAAAGTATGAGAGATGAAATTTCACTTTCTTGGATTCTAAGGAGCATTCTGGCTGTATTTCTTACAATACAGAATTATTTGTTCTTCTAGCAACCCTTGGTACTTTCAAATATTCTCAAACATCATAACTCAAATGCATCAATCCTTATGTGTTCTTCTTCCTTATTCGTTGTCCAACTTTAACATGAATATGTGGATATTAAAAATACCATAACTTGGGTCAGGCACATCTCAGTCCTCAAAATGACATCCTTGCTCTTGAACACCTTAGAGAGGTCTTGAGCAACAGATTTGTCTAATGCAATATACTGTTTGATTTTCACTGCTGCTTCTATGAGCATTGATAGTGGATCCAAGCAAATCGAAGTCTTTGACAAATTCAATCTTTTCTCCATTTATCATGCTGCTATTTATTGTTCTGGTGGTGAGGATTTTTGTTTTCTTTACATTGAGGTGTATTCCATATTGAAGGCTGTAGACTTTGATCTTCATCAGAAAATATTTAAAGTTCTCCTTGCTTCCAGCAAGCAAGATTGTATCATGTGTATATTGCAGGTTTTAATGAGTCTTCCTCCAATCCTGATGCCACACTCTTCTTCATATAATACAACTTCACAGATTACTTGTTCAGCACACAGATTGAATAAGCATGGTAAAAGAACACAGCGCTAGCACCACCTTTCTTAATTTTAAACCATTCAGCATACCCTTGTTCTGTTCAAATGACTGTCCCTTGGTCTATGTACAGGTTCCTCAGGAGCACAATTGAGTGTTCCGAAATACCCATTCTTCACAATGTTATCCATAGCTTGTCATGATCCACATAGTC